TTTTTAACGAGCCAAACATGAGTTGTTCGCGAACAATGAGTTGTTTTGATAGCCCTAGTTGGAGGCTATATATGTGACCGTAGTTGTAACACTTGAAACACATCTCTTTTTCAGTTGTCTGAATCATGATGAATGTGTGTTGTGTTTTGGGGTTATGTCGAGTGTTTAATATTCTTATGAGTTTATGATTGTCGAGAAGAGGAGAGCTTTACATCTGGATTGAGTGAATATAGTTAGTGTGAATGTTATATTTTATTAAAAGAAGATATTAAATTATTGTCGAACTGATTAATGGTTTTTGATAGAATATTCTCTAGAAGGCTTGAGCTTTTGGACATTAAAAATAATATGATATTAACATTGTTTATTGTTATTATAATTTCTATTTTTGTGTTATTTTGTGATATGTGAAGTATAACTCTTGATGTAGTATAATAATAGAGCTCTCGTTTTTTTTATTTTTTTTTTAATGTTGAAATCTATTTATGTTATTCTATTTGAATTATTTTTGAAACCGTTGACTTATAATCAACATATGCATATAAGGGCATTACAAAAAAAATTTCAAAAACAATTGCAGCACAGTAGATCATTCAAACAGACATATTTTTTCATCTACACTTAATTTTTAACAATAGTCTATCATAAAGTCAGGTTCACAACTATTTATTGAACACAATTGCACCTGCCTCAAACACACTATTAGAGTCAATGAATTTTTCATCCATTCAATTGCATTGAAATGAATTTATACATGAATATTTTTAAAAATCTTATATGTATTACTTTCTTCACAGCAAGGTACTCAAATGTAATTTTATAATAATTGGAAAATGGTTTATGAGACTACCTTTATGATAGGTACTTATTGATGTGGGGGAATATTCATAACATGTATGATATTATATGAACTATCTTTAACAATATTATCAATTTTCCTTAATAATTAGCATGAATATAAATTAGGTTTAAGGAAAGTTAAATATATATTGTGCATAAAATCTAAGATTTTAGTTTTGTATGAATTCATTCATAATTTTGAAATGATAAAAAAAAAACAAATTCTCTGCTAAAATTTGTTCGTCAGATGACTATCAAGGGGGGACAAGCCTCTTTGGTTCAAAATATTTCAACAATTTAAAAGAACTAGTTAGAGGAGGAAGGCAAGTGAGATGGCGTAATTTAAAGGATGAACAATTAGGAGTATCCTAATTCAAAGAGAAAGAGTGAACTAATGGAAGAATGACTCCAAGATTTGAAACTAAATGATGAGAGAAGGGTAGAGATGGGACTTCAATCAATGAGGCAAATTTCTTGTGCCCATGAGATGAAGAGAAAACATTAGCTATGCAGAATTGGGACAGCTTTGCATTCTAATAGCAGAGATATGTGATCATTACGATGGAACTAGGTTAAGCACGTTGAAAAAGCCATACAAGTGGATAATGAATGATAGTGGATTGCCATTTGAGGTGAAAATGAGCCAAACTTGAGTAAGCTCAGAGTATGTCCTTGTTTTATACCTTAAAAAATAATGTGTTATAAAGTGTTCATTATCTTAATGTTTGGGTTCGATTCATATAAATTGAAATGGGCTTGCGCATTCTAAGTCAATTAAGCTCAAATTTCCTTAAAAAGTTTATAAATTTTGTCAAAGAATATATACAAATAACCGTTGTTATAAAATTTTTATAATTACAATATTAATTTATAACTCAAATTATACTATACAAAATTAATAAAAAAACTATAAAATTATGATTAACATCATAATTCCTTTAAAATTCATTTTAATTTAATGATCTCTCCAATCATTTTTTGTTATATGCAATCTCATTTAATTTTAGAAGAGAATCTTCTTAAATAAAAACAAGGAACAACTCATTGAAAGTCATTTGAATTTATTAAAGAATTTTTTTCATAAACAATTACCCATTGCTCCAAATAGATGAAATTTAAATTTAGTTGAAAGTGTGGAGGCTAATTTAAATTTAAGCTTCCCTTATGATTAGATTTTTCATAATAGTTAAATTACTTTATTTTGACACAATAACTAGTAAGAAACGAGTTCTATCATATTTATATTATTTTAACTTAATCATGATTATTGCCTAGTCAAAAAGTTTGAAAAAATAATCATTTTAGCTAGCACACCAATCCGTTAGAACAATAGCGTAGTGCTAAACAACAAGTTAAGGGCTCATTTGGGACGGTGGTGAATGTGAGTTGTAGTTTGCACTACATTGCTTAAGTGTTTGACAAAATTGTAATTTGCCTTATTTCTAAAGAAACTGGTACTGAGAAAGCTATGTTTTACAACATCGGCTAAGTGTGATGAATGTCAAAATGTTGCAGTCTAATTTAAGAGAAAAAAAAATTGTAATATCCACTGTAACTACTTGAATAATAGCTTTTCTGCAGTAAATTCACTGTTGCTTCTTCATACAACAACAACGGTCCTAAAAAAACCCTAAGTCTCTAACAAAAACTAAATAATAAATAAATGTAAGAAAAAATCTAAATGAAATTACTCTATGCTCCAATAAATAGAGTGCAATACAATAACAAAAACAACTAAATAAAACATCGACAATAACAGTGAATAAAATATTAAATACAAGTGACAACAATAAATAAAAACATTAATAAAAAATAAAAAAAATAAATAAACTAAATTAAATAACTCCATGCTTATGCTAATGGAATACACAAGTATAACAATGAAAACTAAACTAAAAAACAAAAACATCAATACATAAGCCAAATAGAAGTAGCAATGGCAAATATGAAACACTAATAAATAATAAATAGATGAAAAAAAACAATACTAGACTAAAGCAAATAGAGTACACAATAATAATGACATCTATAAATAAGAATATTCTAAACTAAATAAGAATAATAATAATGAATAAATTAAAAATTAAAAGTAACAACAAATACAAAACATAAATGGAGAGTAAAATAATGTTGCATGTATAACTGCTCCCGACTTTAATAAGGCTACAAACATTATATATCATCTCAAAATTTAAATAAAGCCTAAGAAGTCAAACTCAAATCTATTAATAAAATGTATCAATCTATTAAGAAATGGGAGTAAATCACATTTTAAATCAAGAAGCAAGAAACATGTGAAGTAATATACTAATATCCTCATAATTTCAAGCACAATATTATGAAATCAAAGTAGAATTGGTGAAACTAGTAGACTTTTATGTGATCAACTCTTTTAATTATTTAAAATTTTAAATAAATAAAAAGGAAACTAAAAAAATATTATAAACTATTTAAGATTTTAAATAAATAAAAAGAATACTCAGACATGAAATTTGATATTAAACTAACCCGTCCAACTGCTCAAGCATGCAAACAATAAGAAATGCCAAATGAAAACCAACCCCTTACAAGCTTCATTTTTTTGGGAACTTCTACATGATTATCATTAGCTTAGCACACTCAAGGAAAGTAATAATTAACATGATAAGTAAATGATGAAATTAAAAGAAAAATAATATAAAATTATTGTTAAGGTGCAAGGCTAAAACTCTAAAACCATAACTCAAGCAAGACACATTTTAACTTACATTTTATCCCACAAATACACGTACAAATATTTATATACACTTTCATCCTTCCACACATATTTGCATATATACCATATTCATATATTTCCATATGTACCCCTTAAAAACCACTCTTTCACATTTACCCCCCTCCAACGTTTACTCAATACAACAATATATACCACTATCACTTCACACGTACTTAATAATATATATATATATATATATTGATATATATATATGTATGTATGTATGATATATGTATCATCACTCATCTTTGGGCAACAGCTTATAAAAGTACTCTTCAAACCTGTCCATCTCTTCACCCTGCAACGCGACCAAAACATTCACCCCGTCCTCCGCCCCACCAATGCTCGGAAGCAGCAGTGCCACATCTCTCTTGGGGTCTGCCACGGGACACGTGTACAGCGCCTTCCCCCACGGAAAGTCCACGTCAGCAAAACCCAATCTCCACCAAGACGACACAAACATGTCCCCTTTCGGAAGCCCGCGGTACACCGCACCCCAATCAATAACAGACCTCGCGTACTCATCATCCATTCTCTCCGCACCCTTCGCCACCGCCTCCACCAACTTCCCAAACTCCCCGCCCGCCACTTCTTCCCGCGCCGCCGCTCCGTACGCAGTCAAAACCGCATTTCCGGCATACCCCGGCGGAAGCGGCGGCGAAACTTTTTTTCTTATGTCGACGGCGTAAAGCACCATGGAAGCCCTCTTGAGGTCCTCCGGCGAACTTTCCGGTAATAAAGATCGCATCTTGCAGCGCCAGAGATGGGCGACGACGACGTTGAAGCTTGTGGCGCGGGTGGCGCGGGGTTGTACGAGGAGCTTCAGGGAGGAGATATCGGCGGCGGAAAGGCGGAGGAGTTTGAAGCGGAGGTTGGAGGGAGAGGGTTCGGCTTCGAGGATGGTGGAGAAGAAAGGTGTTTCGATGAGTTCGGGGTGGGAGAAGGTGACACGTGGAGGGGAGCGGGTGGAGAGGAGGTGGCGATTGGTGAAAGGTGGGATGGGAAGCGGGAGGCGGTGGTGGTCGCCGGCGGCGAGGAATGCGAGGTTTTGGAGGAAGTTTTTGAAGCTTATGCCGTCGAAGGTGACGTGGTTGTTGGAAATGCCGAGAGCGAAGCCGCCGCATTTGAAGAATGTCAGCTATTTTTAAATATAAATGAAAACAAAAATTTAAAAAAAATTTATCCTTGATAAAAATTATACGATAAATTTGAGCTTTTTAGCATGACCCAATTAGGGCGGTCAAAATGACTCCTTGTTCACGAACAACTCGTGTTAAGCTTGTTAAGAAACTCGTGTTTGATTTGTTCGTTAAGTTAACGAGCCGAACACGAACAAAGATTTGTTTGTTCATATTCGACTCATTTTAACTCGAAATGCTAATCAATTATATATATTTATATATATAAATTTTATGAGTATTATTTTTAAAAAATTAATTGATTACATATAATCAATTAGAAAAATTAATTAAGAAAAATAGAATAAAAACTATTAAATTAGATTCAAATGATGTTTAAATATAAATAATAGTTTTTCAATCTTGTCCCAACCCTTGTCAAAACAAGTATTTGTTCATATAGGGCTCGTTAAGCAAACGAGCCGTACACGAACACAATTTTTTAGCTCGAAATATAAATGAGTTTTTCAATCTTGTCCCAACCCTTGTCAAAACAAGTATTTGTTCATATACTTTGTTCATATAGAGCTCGTTAAGCAAATGAGCCGTACACGAACACACTTTTTGAGCTCGAAATATAAAAAAGCGACAGCTCGTGTCGCTTTAGCTCGACAGCTCGTGTCGCTTTAGCTCGTGTTCGGCTCGTTTACACCTTTAGCCCGAATATATATTTTTTATAAAATAATTAATTTTTGACACTTTTTTTATAAAATACTTAATTTAAAAAAAATTACCACAATATCAAAATCATATTTTTAACGCACCTGAAATGAGCACAGAAACCGGTCCTCCATCTTCAGCCCCTCTCGCACCGCTCCGGCAGCCGCGAGCTGCCGGAAAGCCGGATTTGGATACTCCAATTCTCCAATTTGGTCCAACCTCAGCTCACTTTCAGCCACCAAGAACTCCACACCAGCAGAATTACAATCAATCTCCAACCTCCCTTCCTTCCCCTCCAACCTGATCAGCCTGCCGGCCAAAAAATCATAAGGCACGAGCACTCGCTTGACCGCAGACCTGAGCTTCTCCGCTACAGTCTCCGGCGGAAAGTCGGGATTTGCGGCGAAGAAGTGGATGGTTTCGACGTTGAAGTTGAGGATTTGGTCGATGTTGGAGAGGAACAGTGTGGAGCGGCTCTCCATCGGACCGGAGGGGTGGAGGATGGAGGAGCTAAGGATGGTGAGCTTAAAGTCTTGTAGGAGAGGGATGTCTCCGTTCCCTACCGCATGACTGCCCATTGCTGGCTAAACCTGGTTTCTCTTTAGGTTTGAAAGCTCTGCAAGCAAAACTATGTATATATATATATATATACATTTAAAATCAAATCGATATTTGGCGAGACACAAACCCAAATATGGATTTCTCATGCGCTCAAGGCCAATGATAAGAACCCTGCGTGATGTGCTTATAATTCAACCCCCACGTTCCACGGGTGGGATCAAGTTAGAGGGGACTTACAGTGACCCTGACAAAAAATAAAAATAAAAAATAATATATATATATATATAGCGCAAATAAAGGCATGGTAGAGATGAGTTAATTTTTTCTTTCCGGACAATTTTATGTGCGCGCGCTCAAATAAAGGCATGGGAGAGATTAGTTAATTTTTTTTTCCGGACAATTTTATGTGTGGACTATGAGTAATATACCGTCTTCTATGTAGGGCTGTCAATTTGGCTCGTTATTCATGAACAACTTGTGTTCGGCTTGTTAAACAGCTCGTGTTCGGCTCGTTAGGCTTAACGAACGAAGCCCGCCCCCCCCCCCCCAACCATGGCTCGCGCGGCTGCCAAACCAGCGCGCCAAAACACGACCAACAGTTTGTTCGCTCGTGTTCGGCTCGAAATGACTCGAAAAAAAAAATATAACTTTTTATATAACAATATATTACATATATTATTTATATAATAATATATTATATATATTTACGTCTAAGCATAAATCATAACACCTCATGTGGCAATGTGATTAGTGTGTTCTTTTGTATATATTTGATCCAGGTTTGAATCCCACACTTTAGATCTATTTTTCTCAATTTTAGTTTAACGAGCCAATTTCGAACCGAACACAAACACAAATATTTAAATCGAGCCGAACACGAATACACTGTTCACGAGCCGATTTCGAACACGAGTTATTTCGAACGAGCCGAACACGAGCCAAGCCTGAACTCGCTCAAACTCGACTCGTTTACAGCCCTACCGCTATGCTATATCCGGCCCACCTAAAACCCAGAACACACTCGAAATAACCCTGAAAATTGAAATATGGTTCAGAGCAAACTATTTACATAAAGTCACTGTCGGCATTAACTTTGAGCGGCAAGTGGCGTCCACCAAGCTTTAGAACGCCGAAGATTTAGCTGACGCATAATCAGCAAAACAAATGTCCTGAAAACAGTTAAATTTAGTGAGACATATTGCTGAAACATTATAGGATTGCAGCTGCAGCCACCGAAGCGTATTTGGTGTAGTGATATTTTAAAAATGTAACTGATCTGTTTGGGTAAACTGTATTTTGGCAGCTTATGCGTTTTCAAAATACTGAAAACAATGTTTTCACACCGCACCTGTCTAGGTGCGGTGTCAGTTTTCTGGCTGCGGTATGACTTTTTCAAAAAAAATAAGAATTTGTAATAGCTAGCGGACCTAACTTATCAACAAACTATTCAATAAGTTGTAACTGCTCCAAACAGACCCTAATTCTGTATTCACATAAGGAATAGTATTGTTAATTGTGTATTAGTATTATTCTTTTTAATAAATTACATTATGCTGCGGCTTCAGAAAAAAAATTATAATTAGCTTCTAATTAATGAGAACTATTGCTACCAGATTTGAGGTGGCTTTAAAAGGTGAATTATTAAACCATTCTCAAAAGGCGTGGCTTGATTTATGTTCATATAATTTAATCATTTAAGTTTTTTTTTTTTTTTTTTTTTTTTTTTTTTTTTTTTTTTTTGGGAAGGTTTTTTTTTTTTTGGTTTTTT